CTTTTTAAAGTTCTGTGTCAAATGTAGAAAGGAAATTTTTGAATAAAGACTGACATCTTCCCTTTTATGACTGGTCTGTTACTCATCGTGACGCTTACTGACTGTGCTTTGCAAGTTAAAGCTTTGTTCTACAGTAATTGTTGTCAGTGACAGAATCCACTCTTATTTAGGAAACCAAATTGAATTTATATGATCAGTCTGTTCTGATTACAAATAGCAGTGCTGTGTATTTATATATTAGCTTATTAAATCAGCTTAATTGCAAGTCCATCAATCTCACCAAATCTGCTGAGTGACCAGAGTCCCACAGTGCCAAACTAAGTCCAAGAACTGAGACAAATAAAAACATTGCCCAACATTTGCCCAATGCTCCTTTTTTCCCTTTTTTTCTTCTTCTTTATTTTAACCTTGGTTCCTCCCGACAGTCCCAACAAGCGTGGTCCTCCTTCCTACAATGAGCACATCTCTAAAAGGCTGGCAGCCAATCCTCTGGTCCATGGAGACCCAGGCACACCACACCGTTACAGAGAGGCTCGCACAGAGTTTCGGCGGGACAAGTCCCCAAGCCGTCCACTGGAGAGAGAGAAGTCTCCTGGCAGAATGCTGGAAAGCCGGATAGTGGGGTCGCCTGGTCGAGCCATGGCAGACCCCCGGTTGGAGCGATCACCAGGCAGGGCCATGGCCGACCCTCGCATGGACCGCTCCCCTGGCAGGATGATGGATGTTCGTAGGGAGAGATCCCCTGGACGTTTTGAAGAGCGTCAAAGGCTTCATACTGGCTCCGGACGCACACCCATAAACTCTGTTAACAAGGTTTGTCAAGAAATTCTGCATTACATTAACTTAATGTGTAACTGTTAGCAATTAGCTGAATATTTTTGTGTTTTATTGACATCGATTGGAAACTGTTTGAGTATGGTAAAAGGTTCAGTACTACAGTAGTCTTTTACATTTGTTTAGTTTTGGCTTATACTGTGGATTTTCATGACACTTCAGGTGTACTTAACATGGAAAGACCAGCTTTCAAGGCTGTGGACCCTTAGTCTAACTCTTGTGTTAGTGTACATTTTGACTCTCAAAATCTGTGTATTAACCTGACTTCATGTTGTTGGTTTTACCCTACAGGTGTGGGATCAGTCATCTGTTTGAAGGGCAAAAGACCCTCGTGTCCGCTGCGGAAGAAGAAGTTCATGTTTGAAAAGAGAGAAGATGTAGCGGAGAACCAGTGAGAATGTTACCAACTCATGATGAAACACTGCCACACATCTGTTTTGCCCGATATCCAAAGTGAAAAACCCATGGAGGAAAACAACTGTAGCTGTCAGAACGTAGCGAGCACCAGATAAATAAAGAGATGTCATTAGTATCAGGTTATAGTTTTAAATAAAGGTCAACAAAATGCCATATTAACCACCTGAGCAGGGTTTTTTGCGATGCATTGGAGCATGTGTTCTCTACTCAGAGTAGGGATTAGTAATTATATATAATTTCTTCTTCCACAAAGAAAATCTGAGATGAGTTCTCAAGTTAAGACTACTGGGTTTGGCTTGCTTCATTTAACTCTAGCAGCATTAACTACAATGGATAAGCACAGCCATAGCAAGTGATGCCTATATATTTAGTCATTTTATTCAAAATGCCATTAACACATGTGGCTCATTTCCACATGTGCTATCTACAGCAGCTACAGATCAGGGCAAATGTGTAGCAGATCACCTGTTGTGACACTGAGTATTACTTCTGGCTCCAGCCCTGTGCTCACATGTTAACACACAATCGTTATTGGCTAATTACAATCATTTTCAGCTCGGTCCTTGGTCAGTAATGCTGACCGGACTCGGCTGAAGCATGAATAAACTGAATCAAAATTAATTAATATATAATCCCTCCCAAAAAATACACTGTGTAGAACCACACACTAAAACTGCACTACCCACAATCCCCAGCAGCAATGGAGCAGGACCTTTCTAAATCTTCAGAACGCTATCTGACTGTAAATAGACGAGACATAATTTTATATATATTAAGAAGGAATTTCAAGGCTGGATAAGCCGTGTCTATTTTTGTTAAAGGAAAAAAAAAAAAGTGACAGTGTGTCCTCTTGAATGTCCGATGAGTATTCTTTTAATGTCCAAACGTCCTTTATCAAGTGAGTGATTGTATCTCAAACAAACTTGTGTATGCACTTCCATCTGTCAAAGGCAAAACCTCAGTGCTGACCTAAACGACGGGAGGGAAAAAAGATCATGTTTGAAGCTTAAAACATAGTACTTGAGCATTTCTTTTTGTACAATGTCCCCTGCTGTTGTATATAACCCAAAATTGTTTAAAGTGAAGATGAAGAAAAAATCTTTTTGTTTTGTTTTTCTTTTCCCTGATCCGTTAATGGCATGGATATATATATATATCTCGAAAATGAAACGGGGTGTTGTCTTCTGCTTCTGCCTCATTTGGGTTATATTTTTAATCTACATTTTTAAAAACAAAGCACGTGAATAACACTTTCTATCTTTAAACTCTCATGTATTTGCACAGTAAATTCACACAATTATATTATATAACTTTTTTTTTCTTCTTCTTTAAGGCATTCTTGGCAAGTTAAAACATCCAGTCCAATCACAACAAATGCTAAAGTCCATCCACGCTCATTCGGTTCACGTGGCTAAGATGGATGCATTTCTGTACATCATGATCTGATGTATAGAAATAGAATATTTTGTGGATTTTAGCAGTATTTTTTTGAATGTAAACAAACGAGATGCCAAACTTTAACTTGCCCAGTTTGCCTGTCAACAGTTAGGCGCTCACTAGGAGGATGTCTTCGCCTTTAAGTCCCCTATGATTATTTTTAAGATGGTTAAAATCTTCCTGAATGTATTTTAAAGCCAATACAGCCGATTCGTTGGTCTCAATGTTCAACAACAACAAAAACAAAGCACCAAATGCTTTAAATTGCACATGTCTTCTTCTCTCTATAGGACTCTGTACAAAAGGGTTATCCATCGTATTTGATTTTATTTTTAGATTCTTTTAAATTTGTATTCTCATTCACATGATCTTGAATCATAATGCTGTAACGCTGGATATGATATTGATGTCTGCTAACAAATGTTTAATTAGCGTTCCCTGTAGAGATTTTGTCACAGAGTATTAAATATTATAATCATTGCATTTCACTTCGATTGTGCCTCCTTCTGTTGTGCTTGTGTGTCTCTTTACAAAGACATTTAAACTTATCTCTGAGTGGATAAGCATCATAAAACAGTCACCTCTGAAGCATTTACCCTCTCTGTTTCAAGACGGCCAGTGACACGGCCATTTGTCCACATCCATTGTGTTGGAGAAGGTTTCGTCTATTTATAGGTGTCTGATCCCAGCGCTCAGCCTGCCATTCCAGTCACAGTAGCTGCAGCGGCTGCTTGATCTGAGAGGAGCTGAAGAAGAAGCCTTTTTTTTTTTTTTTTAACAATAGCATCTGCTTCCTGGGTTAACAATAACTCGTCTAATTGTGTCCTCTGCATGCACGCTGTACACGCTGCGAGACAACACAGACGGCATCTGCTGCTGGTTCGTCCATCGCAATTTATTTAGCAGTAAGACGATCGAGTGCGAGGAGGCTTTAAGTTTATTTAGACCACTCACCTCCCAACCTCAGCTCATTCAGCTCATTTTCACACGCTGTCACTTTTCTTGACCTGGGAGCCCCGAGTGATGGGGGATGATTTGTTAATGGTGCTGAGAGACACATTGTAAGGACGTGTTCAGTGTCTCACGCAGTATGTCTCACCTAGAGCTGTTGACATCCATGAGCTTAGTACCGCAATTCCTGTGATGAATCTCAACAGTGTGAAGAAGACTGAAGATGCCACTTGATGCTCTGGCTTCTTTCAATTCCTATCTATCTATTAAATTAAGTTAACCATTTGTAGGGACCCAGAACCCACTAAACAACCTGAAAATCTGACATTTTGCCATAAATATCACCAATTTGAATTACTTTGATAGAATAAATTAAGTGATTTAATGTAAGAGCCCTGTGCAATGCTGTAATGCACTGCTTTGTCTGGCCAAGGTAAGCAGAGCCAAAGATATTATGTGAAGAAGCATGTTAGAAAGGTTGGCGCTAACACAGACCTGACAGGTCAGTAAATAACACATAATGAGCTGGTGCTTTTTCAGGCACTCTTATGCGTTTAATCAGATGGGGAACAAGAAATGATTGGCACACAGATCAGAGTTAGAAAGAGACAGTGAATTCAATCTGCAAATGCTTTGCTCTAATACACTGACATAATCTTTCACAGATCAGGTTTTAGTTCTACATCTTTTGGGCATTTCAAATTCTCAAATTGATTTGTTTTATATTCATTCCCACTGGGTAAATACAGTTTATATTGTATATCTTAAGAAGTATGTTCTTATTTCTCTGCAGTACTTAAATACTTTTTGAATGTAAAGGCTCACAAGCCTGTCAGTGCTACTGCAAAAGAGGCGGGCAGAAGTTTATCGGTCACACAAACCTCTAATCATATCACTTGTGCATTTTTGATTAACCTGTGGCTATCATAAAGATCGGTGTGTCACAGAGGTCGAGTTAGGTAGGCTAGTCCAATGTTCTCCTTTCATTTTGCTTTTATAAATAATGCTGTCTATGGAAAGACTATGGACCAACAGATTGACAGATCACACTCTTGCTTTTGTTTTTACTATACAGCACTCTCATTCACTTACAACAATTGCAGTCAGTAGTTCGTACAGACAAGACAATGCCCTGTGGATGGAGTCTTGTTTAAAGTGATTAAGTGCTTTCACCTTCAGTCTGCTCTTGATATTCTAGACCAGTTATTCCACTCTCTTTGTCGAATGCCAATCAGGACTCCACAGGGTGAGCGGCTATGTATGAGAGTGTGTGAGCATGCGATACTGTATATGCTGTATGAAGCATCATTTACCTGTCACTTCCTAAAGAGGGCATAGTTTATAAATATCATCCACTGGAGCGGAGGGCGGAGGGCTACAAAAGGCCACCCACAGCCTCCCTATTGTTCACTGGCATCATTGTTGGTCTGACCTCCCAGCTGCTCAGCCATGGTAAGTCTGTGTACTGTGTGTGTGTGTGTGTGTGTGCAGTGTTTGTTGGGAGGTGTGTCTTATGGCTTTGAGGATGCTGCAATTGTTTTGATGAGATAAATAACAGTTTTTCACCTGCATATCATTTAAAAGCACAAATATTTAGCATTCTTGCGGGGGGGATGAAAAGATGACATAACTTTTATTTAATTGTTTGTCAGCAGCTGTTTTGCTGTTTAAACTGCTTTTTCTTACAAAGATGCTTAATCCTATTTATTCATCTCTTCTGACATGCAGTTTTATCTGACCAAACGTGTAGTTTCTGCTTCACCTCTCCTGTCTTTGTGCTAAAAAAGGCCCCCAAGAAAGCCAAGAAGAGGGCAGCAGAGGGAGCCAACTCCAATGTGTTCTCCATGTTTGAGCAGGCCCAGATCCAGGAATTCAAAGAGGTGAATGCTGCTGAAACCACTTTCTATTTCACGGATTTCCGTTTGGCAGAGAACTGCCGAGAAATATCGCAAAGGGTGTATTAATATGCGAGTCGGCTCACCAAGGTTCAGGCATTTCTGCATTAAAAAATAAACTGCACAAAGCATTACACAGAAAGGTCTCCACTTTCTTTCTTTGTCTTTCTACTTGCATTGTTCATTGTGGCAGTATGCGCACCTGTCTGTTTGCCCGCTTGCTGGCTTGACAGCAGTAAGGCTTGCGGTATGCTGGTATGAGGGACAGTGGTGCCCAGACATCCAGACTTTGTCATCAGTGATTAGGCTGCAGATGAACTGCAGGGCATGCCCAGGATGCCAGACTAAATCCAAGGGGAGGGGGGAGGGTAACACGTTATAAATACTAAACAGTGTTCATATATAAAGATGGCCTACCAAAAATTTAAGAGAACCCAAAAAAAATAAAAAATAAAACTGTTTGATGTGACTCTGGATGCCTTTTTTTTTTTTTTTTTCCCTGTGCTCTGATCTCAGGCCTTCACCATCATGGACCAGAACAGAGACGGCTTCATCGACAAGAACGATCTGAGGGACACTTTTGCTGCTTTAGGTATGTGGACACCAGTCAAAGAAACACTCAAAGTCTTCATCTTCGCTCATGCCGTGCGTTTACATTGACTCTTTGGTGCTGCAGGACGTCTGAATGTGAAACAAGAAGAGATCGACGACATGCTCAAAGAAGCTCCTGGCCCAATCAACTTCACCGTCTTCCTCACCATGTTCGGTGAGAAGCTGAAAGGTAAAAACTGTCCGGCCAGTAAAACTACATCTAAGTCATGAACACAGCATTGATGCGAATGTATCTCAGTGCTGTTTTGATGTTCCCAGGTGCCGATCCGGAAGAGACCATCCTCAATGCTTTTAAAGTCTTTGACCCTGAGGGTAAAGGGGTCCTGAGGAAGGACTAGTAAGTGGCTTCTCACACTTGTCACGCGGCATCAGCTTGCATATGCAAATTTATTGCAAGTGAGCAAGCTGCCGCTCACAGTTTATGACTCAGTCTGACTGCAGTCATTCATCCTCACACAGCTCAGCTCCACAATGATTAAAAACCATTGTGACCTGTACAGTTCATTCACTTGTGAAAAGAAGTCTCGTCATCTCTACAGCGTTTTTTTTCCCCTTCCTTTTTTTCTCCTCTCCAGCGTGACACAGATGCTAACGACACAAGCCGACAGATTCTCAGCTGAAGAGGTACATTGCAGTCCCCCAGCCCATACTAATTATCATCATTATAACAGTTTTGTGAGTGTGGGTGAGTTGAATTGAAAAAAAAAATACAAGGATGAACGTCATCATGACGACCACCTGCGTCCACGTCAGGCACATTTTCATGCAAAAAAACAAAAACAAAAACCCCTGAGTGAATCATCTTAACACCCTTTTTATGCACACTGGGTTATGGGCTGTGTGGGGGATAACATCTGATAAAAGTGGTGTTAATGTCTCCCTTTCTGTTGCTTAGATGGAGCAGATGTTTGCTGCCTTCCCCCCGGATGTGGCTGGAAACCTGGACTACAAAAACCTGGTTCACATCATTACTCATGGAGAGGAGAAGGACCAGGAGTGAACCTTCATTTAAATGCATTCGAGAAGTAGAAAGTCAGTTTGTGTACCCAGCTATGACTTGAAACTGACTCACTGCACATAAAGGAAATGTGGACTATTTACTCAGCTTTTATGACACCATTGCTTCTGTATTGTCCTCACTCGAGAGCAGGGGGAGGATCCTGACAAATAGTCTTTTTCCAGCCTGTAAAAATGGGAAGTTTACAGCATCAAACATCATCAAGTGTCGTGCTCTTTTTCTGCTTTATCCACAGCATATCCCCCACATTCACCTGAGACTGATTAAATTATTTTTCCTTATCATTTTCTATACTAATAACCACATGCCTGTTTTTACCATAGCCACTTGTTAGGTCTTTGCTTGACAGTCTAATAAAGATTTTTAAAGCTACGAGAGCTATGATTCTGCTGTTTTTGCTCAGATTATTGAATGCCAGTGTGGGGAAGATGGTACAGACTCGATAAAGCCTGATTTCCAGTGAATTGTCATTACCTATTCAAGGATCATACAATTACTGCCTGAACAGATGACTATACCAGATACTCCTTAAAATCCATGTTAGGTAGTGCATCTGAGTACTTAAGAATAGCGAGCATGTGCAGCTGGTGAGCCTGTAGAATCCAAAACATGCCTGCATCAGTGTCTGTGTGTGCGCAAAAAGTTGGGTGTGTGTTGGATGTGCGTGGAAATGTTTGGCTACTGAAACAAAGGGCTTTACTAAGACAAAGCCCTGTTGTTATTTTAGTGTTGTGGTGATGTAAAGAGGGTAATGCTATACTGAGGAGTTGGGGGGGGAGGTTGCTCACAAAAGGATGCCATCGAGTGATCCGCACCACCGTCGCCTTACCCGACTTGAGACCTTGGCAGGGTTAAGCAGGGGGTGTAAATCCTTGATTGTTCCAGTTGAAGTGTTAAGGGCAGGGAGGAGCCAGTTCTGACAGCATCAGGCAGGAGTACCGTGGATACTTCATACTGTGGATGAGACGAGACACGTGGGGAAGGATGAGTGTTTGGATCGGCTTGGCTATTTCAGCTCCAGTTTTAACTGTCTGCAAGTGCAGCATGTGGTCAGTGAAGGGAAAATGTGCATTTCTCTTTCAATTTTTAGTTTTGTCTGGTAGAAATTACTACTGACAAAATCACTGTCACCTAAATTTGCAGATCCTACCTAGCTCTAAGACTGAGTGTTTGCTGCTCAGGTCCAGGGACAAATGAGAAACAAAGGTTACCAGGCTGCTGCTGAACATACTGAAGAGGCTGGAGTTTGAACAGCCAAGTGTATCCCTCATGACAGCATGGAGAGCAAGACAGAGCCAGAGAGACTGACAGTAGTTTTAGGACTGCCCAGAAAAATCACCCCATGTTACTGTGTTTAACATGTAAACTGGTGGGCAAAAGTCTTGAGCCACGCCTCATTTCTGTACATTTTCATAGAAAATAGGTGTAATGTTTTCTTACAATGTGTGCAAACAAATGGAAATACTCTATGAAAGTACTTTTTTAAAAAAAGAGTTTGTACAATTTTACTGAGTTTGAAAGTGAATATTTAATGTGTTCAACTTTATTCTTCAACACGGCCTGAGTTCTCTTAGACAGGCTTTCTCGTCATTTCTTTAAGTAGTCTTCAGGAATAGTTCTCCGGGCTTCTAGAACGACATCCAAAGCTCTTCTTTGGAAGTTGGATGCCTTTTGTTCTCTTCACTGACAAGATGATGCCACACTGCTTCAAAAATGATGAGGTCTGGGCTCTGGGGGCCATGACTGATACTGTTTCATTGTGTGTGTTTTTTGGTTTTTGTTTTTTTCTTGGCCAGATATGCTTTTGCTGCATAGGCGGTGTGTTTGTGATCATTGTCATTGGAGTCAGAATACTTTTTTTAATCCACTGAGACAATGTTGTTAGAGATGCTCACTGAAAATATAAAGATGAAAGATAGAAAGCATAAAAAATATTTGGTCTTTGATCAATGGGTTTTGATCAGTAGCTGCTGATCAGTGGTCATGACAATTTGCATATTAATGATCAAGGAACTGACCTCAGTTCATTCAGTGGGCTGGTTTCAGGTATAAGGTTGGGGAAACCTGCAGTCAGCTGAGACTGAAGAAGTCACTTGAATGAGTGACGAAATATTCCTCCCATTGAAAATGTTACATCCAGATGAGCAGAATCAACCTTTTAGGGTTTACTTACCTGGATGATTGAGCATGCATCAAGACATAAAAAAGAAGTAAAACTACAGCACTTGGAGTGAAATCTGAAATTTAAATGAAATATTCCAAAATGAAAACACTAGAATGTACCCTACAGACAAGATATAAATTTGAAAATAGTCCAGGTGTCATAACAAGGAGTTGTAAACTTTCATGGCCAAAGGTAGCGATGATTTCCCTTATCTCTTTTACTGAATGCGCTGCTGTAGCGATCCATCACAGGATGGAGAGGGTGTGAAGAGTTGTCCAATACTGACTTTAACGTGGGCAGCATCCTCTTTTCTGAAACCTTTGTCAGTTAATCGGGTTCCGCGCACACAGTGTCATTGGCCTTGCAGATCAGTTTGTTCAGTCTATTGATTGCTGCCTCCACACACTGCAGCATAGTGGATGGCACTGACTGGCCAAAGACCCATAAAATATCCTGAGCATCGTCTGGCAGATGCAAAAGGACCTCAAGGCTTCAGTACTTTTTGTAGAGAGCTTTTAATGAACTTTTTGTCAGTGTGAACATTGGGGTGTTTTTAATACATATGGATGGAAGCAGGGGCCACTGTGTTCCTGTCCTCCTCATGCCCACAACCAGTTTCTTAGTCTTTGCCATGTTAGGCTGCAGATGGTTTTGCTCGTAGCCTGCAACAAAGCTGTCCACTACACCTTCTTATTATTATTATTAGTAGTAGTTGTAGTATATTTTTAAAGACACACTGCACACTATGCTGAGATATGCAAAGTTTTCAGCTAATAGCTCTTTAAGAATCACCTTGTTGGCCAAAAATACTATTTCATGCCTGTTAAACTGTTTTTTTGGCATTTTTGGCCAAATTTGTAACAAATGATAACAAATCATTCAATGGCATTTGTTTCATTGCTAATTGTCTGTTATGTGTAGATACAACACTGGTTCATTCTTTGAGTTAGCTGTAGCTTTAAGCTTGAATGATTCACAGGTCACTTTTAAGTCGCTAACAAAATAACAATAATGTATACTAACAGTTCCTCTGAAAATGGTCAGGTACAAGGACTGGACTGGAAATAAGTGAAAAAGCAGCTAAAGTACAGAGAAAAACTTTGAAAGACCTTGGAAAGCCCAGAGTACTATTGATCAAGATCAACGGACTCAATAAACTGATCTGTAAGGCCAGTTACGTTGTGGGGATGGAGCTGTGCTCGCCCTAAGGTGGTGTGAGAGAGGTGGATGTTCATCAAGATAAGGTCAATGCTGGACCAAACCTCCCACCCACTCCATAACATGCTGGCCAGTCACAGGACTACATTCAGTGAGAGACTGAGATTATCCACATGCATCACTGAACGACACACAAAATCATTCCTGCCTGTGGTTATTCACTGTAAAACTCCCTCTCAAAGCACAAGTACACACTGCAACAGTTGCACACCCCTAGTTCATGCAATGGGCATCCCGATTGCTTTCACCACTATGAAAACATTGTCATTCTGAATGACACACAGGATGATGCTAAAAGATACATAATCAGGTTTTTTCTGAACTCTCAGGTAACAAAAGCAAACCTTTGTCTTACATGAAGTAAGATTAAAAGAAGAAAAATAACAGCACGTTCATGTGACATAAAATCCATGAAAACCAGCCATCATCTCACTGCTGAACACACACAGTGTAATTCTGTAACTCCCTGCAGGAATATTAAAGGAAAGTTACACCAATCATTTATCAGGGGAAGCGTTTTAGTGTGTGCTGAGGGTGCAATTAACACTCTCTCACAGAGGTTTATATTGAGATTTAACACTGTGCCTAAATGGCATTTAGTCTATTTCCACCTCTGAGAAATAATGGATGGATTTTCTGTGAGAACTGTCGATTTGTGCTGAGTGCGTCTGCTCAAAGAAAGCTGACTTAAGCTGTGCAGATAATGACTGTGGTCTGAGTTATCTCCTCATTTTCTAGTGTAAGGGTAAAATCTTTGTTAACGCACAAGAAAAAGTCTTCTCTCACGTGTTTTTCTTTTAAGATGGACTTTTCTTCAAAGTAACAGAACACAAACGTCACATGTGACAAGTTATCAGTTCGTTATTTATAAGAAATGTTTTCTTAAGCCCTCTAGCACTTTATCCTGAAATCAGGAACTCGTGTTTTCTGAAACTGGCTTTAAAAATAACCGTCAAGAGTTCAGTAGCAGTGCATGTAAATAGCAACATAGTATCCCTAATAACTACTAAAAACCTTCTGTCAGTCGTCTCCTTCTACATGCAAGCTTCTCTTTAGTCACCAGCCATAAATTACCATTTAAAATACTCCATATTTTCCCATCTTTTCTCACAATTAGTCTCTTTCTCTGCTGAGAAGCTGCTTTGAGTCATTTTTTGTATGTATCAATGAGGCATGGGGGTGTGTGGTGGGGCTTAGGCCAGAGACCAGTTAATGAAGGTCTGATAATGTGAAGCTACTGCCACCATGTGGCCATTTAAAAATGATGTTGCCTTTTAGCACATTACTCTTTACACGACATTACAGCTACATTTCTTCTTTTATAATTTTACTGTTTTTTAGTTATAAAAATAAATAAATAGAGTCAAAACTTATTTCACTGTCCGTATGTAATCCCAGAAGACACAGGCATTTTGACTAACTACTTACAGTAGTGCATATAACATGCAAGCAGACATAATAAAATCATCAATAATAAAATCTACAGTCCTCGTCATTCCAAACTCTTAAAGGAGGAACACTGGCTTGTGGTTGTCGTTTTCCTTCCTCACCTTCACATCTCCTACTTCCTTTGGAGATGAACAACTCTGACAAAACCTCTCCACAAGAAAGAGTACCTGCTGCACACCCAGAGTCCTCAAAACCTGAGCCCACCTTATTATGTTCTACAGGTGGTCTTAAAAAACACGTTTATTGCCTCACCTCATTTAAGTCATTCAGCCATTTAATTATTTTATTTATTTTGACATGTCTGACTCTCTCCCTGTTTTATTTTCCCCAGAGACCTCGGTCAGCTTCCTCTTTCTCTCTCCTTGCATTGTGAGGCTGAGGAGGATCTCTAGCTTGCCCGGTTAGTAATTTTAATTTTATAATTTTTCCCTGTTTTATTGTGAGCTTGCTCTGCTAACTGTAAACACTGCTATCAGCAAGAATGTACGACATTAAAGATTGAATTAACTAACTAAATTTAGCTGACATAAAAAATACATTAATAACAAAAG